ATTGGCAACATCCAAATCTAAATCAGTAGCAATTGATATAAAAGCAAATGCTTGATTATATGCTCTTATTTTGTCAACAAATAGTACTTTAGATATTGGATCTTTTTCTGTAAGCAAATAAAGAATTTCTGGTGGTGGTGCTAATACAACTTCACTATTTATGCAACATAGTCTTAGTTTTTCCCCCTTCCATCTTAACGCTTCACAATATTCACATTCAATGTCCATTTTCCCCATACTATGCCCCCATTGTTCTTTTTATCATCCTCATCATCATCATCATCATTATTATTATCATCATCATCACTATTATCCCCACCATCATCCTCATTATCATCTACATCATCATCTCTATCATTATCTCTATCATTATCCTCACTATTATCTCTATTATCATCTTCGACCTCCTCCTGATAATCATTCAACTACAATATACTATTTTATAAAATTATTTAAATTGTTCTTGTTTTTTCTTCTTATATGCTTCTTTATGTTTTTTTCTATCTTTTTTTCTATTTTCTTCTTTTTTTGCTTCACTCAAAGAAGCTCTATATTCTTGTTGTCTTTTTCTTGTTTTTTCTTTTGTATCTGATGAAGTTTTAGAAGTTTGGGAATTTGTTCTTGTTGAAGGTCCTGCAATATTTTGTTCTTTTTAATAATGTCTATATTTAGCTTGTCTTTTTCTTTTTAATCTATTTTCTCTATCTTTTCTAGCTTCATTTTTAGGTGCTGCATATTCTCTTACAATATAATCAGGAGTAGGTTTTTTTTTTTTCTCTTTCTTTTCTTTCTTTTCTTTTGGCATTTTCTATCTCAATAAAAAAAAATAAAATTATTAATTATTTGTATAATTTATAAATAAAACAAAGCATTTATTAAATAAATAAAATAAATTTTTAAAATTTTTGCTTTAATTGTAAATTTTTTACCTTCTTTTTAAATTTTACATATTTTAATAAATTTGTAAATTTAATATTAATTTATATTATTTTATTAAAATTTTTATTAAACTTACTATTATTTAGTTTATTTATTATTGTTCCAAAACCTATAATATAATAATTTATTAATTTAACAAAAAATTAGTATAAAAAATTTAACAAATTTGAGTTTTTATTTTTTTTATTAATAAAAAAAAAATTAAAAAACATTTTTGCCTAAGATTTAATACAAAACGTATCTATAGATTACATTAATTTCAATAAGTTATATTAATTTCGATATGTTATGCTGATATGTTACATTACGCCAATTCATAACATTATGCTGATTTTATTAATAGATACTATTTTTAATTAATTATTTTTAATTAATTAATTAATTAATTAATTAATTAAATTTTTTTCATACATACATATTATATATGTGGTCATGTGACTCAATTTCAGATCACCGACCATTTTCGTGGAAATTCAAATTCCCATAAGTCATGTGACTTCGCTGCTTTGTCAGAGTTTCAAACTCCATTTCGGCGGAGTTTAAAACTTCTCTAATTTCGCAGGAATGCAAATGAAGTCATGTGACTTTGTTATTGCATGATCAGAGTTTAAATTTTCACTCCTTTTTCACTTTTCACTTTCTTTATTTCTCTTCTTTCTTTCTCTATTTTGCCTCTCTCCTCTTTCCTTGCCCCTCCTACTCCCACTCCTTTTCCTTTTTTCTGTCTTTCTCACTTACCCACTTTTTCACTCACCCACCCTCTCACTGCCCCTCTTTCTGTCACTCTTACTATCTCTTAAAAAAAATTTAATTTTTTTATCTACTATTTTGCATTTCTTAGTCACTAATTAAAGAAGTAATGTTTTTCCCTGCTTTGCAGGCAAAAAATACAAAAATGTCACTTTTTTTATTATGTAATAGAGAAATGCGTAATAGTAGAGAGTTGACTAGCTCTTAAGACCCAGTCCTTGACCGGGTTTGAGTTTCTAATTTTTTGCTAATTCTTAGGCCTTAATGTTATTAGATTTTAGGACCTGGTCATTGCTCAGGTTTGAGGTTCTAATATTTTGCTAATTCTTAAATCTAAATTATATTAGCTCTTAAGATCTGGTCATTGTCCAGATTTGAGTTTCTAATTTTTTGCTAATTTCTAGGCCTTAATGATATTTGGTCTAAATTATATTAGCTCTTTGGACCTGGTAATTGCCTGGGTTCAAAACAAAATTTGGGTTCAAAAAGACCCAAAGTAATTCAAATGAACTCAACGTGGGTCAAATGGACCCGAAGCGGGTTCAAATTAATACGTCGTGGGTTCAAATGAATTTGTAGTTTAAATTTACCCGACGTGGGTTCAAATGAACCTGAAGTGGTTCAAATGAACTCGACGTGGGTTCAACTGAACCCAAATTGGGTTCAACAAACCCAAATTGGGTTAAACGAACCCGAATTCGGGTCAAAACGAACCCAAATTCAGGTCAAAACAAACTCAAATTCAGGTCAAACGAACCCAAATTTGATTACAAACTTTCTCCCTTTCTTCCCTTTTTCCCCTCTCACCCCTTTCCCCTCTCCTCCCTCTTTTTTTTCCTCCTTTTCCTTTTCTTTTCCTTTTTCCTTCCTCTTTCTTTTTCTCTCCTTTTCCCACCCTTTCTTTTTTTCTTTCTTTTCCTTTTTTCCTCTTTCTTTTCCTTTTTCTTTTCCTTTTTCTTCCCTTCTTTCACCTTCTTCCTTTCTCCTCCCTTTCTCTTCATTTTCTTCTCTCTTTCTCTCCCTTTTTCTTTTCACTATCTTCACTCACTCATACACACTCTCTCTCTTCTCTCTTCTATTTTTTTCTCTTTCTCTCTTACTCTCTTACCTTTTCTTTTTTCTCTATCTCTTTTTATTAGAAAATAAATTTTCTTTTTTTTTTTTAATAGTTATCCATCACTAATTAATGAAAGTAATGCTTTATATATATTTTTTTAACTGGGGTACCTGCTTACGCAGGTATCTCTGTTAAAAAAAAAGGCAAAAGCATTACTTTTTTTATTAAGTGACAGAGACTTGCCAAATAGTAAAGGGTGAATTAATTCAATTTGCATTATATAAATAATCTCACTAGCGATGAGCAAATCCACATAGTTATACAAAAATTTGTAGATAATTTGAGTAAGCCTGCCTGCAGTAACTTAATACAGATAAACATTTTATGCACATTGAAAAAAATCAATTTGCCAATCGCTAAGACACACCTTCATAATTCACTCTAAGCCCACTCGAATCTACGCTCAAAAAATTAGATTTATTATCAATATTCCAAGCAGTTGGTAAATCCATAAATTGTTTTAAGAGTAGAGTGAAGTTTTTTAATTATAATATAAAATTTATAGCAAGTAAGTTTTATTACGAAATTTGTTTTAAATTACTAAATTTTGTAAATAAATTTGTAGTATGAACTTTCTGATTTTAACAGTGAGATAAAAAAATTTAAAGATTAGGTATTAAAATTTTATAATTCAACAAAGATTATTAAACAATTAAAAGGTATTATTTATATTTTCGAAATTTAATAAAGCTTTGTTGTAATCTTAAAATTTTTTTTTTGAATGACCCGTTTTTGGTCGCTCTAATTTTGATCTTTACTACACATAGTTATAGTAATTTTTTGAATTTCTATGAATAGGAACCTTTTTTTATATTATGCTTACTATCAATATTCTCTTCCTTATTATTATTATTGGGAAATTACAAATAAGGGCCCAAAACTGAAAATAATTACAAATAAGGGCACAAAATGAAAATAATTACAAATAAAAGCCTGATTTTTGAAAATTATTACAAATAAGGGCCTAAAAAAATTTTGCGCTTAAATACCCATTTTCAAGTCCCATCAATCAATGACTCGAATGTGCCACATAATATAGTCATTAATTATCAATTGTATAAGAAATGTAATAATGATAAATTAGTAATTTAAATATAAATTTAAATGCGTAATAAATATTG